CCCAACGGCCGTTGCGTGTCGTCGTCCTCCCCCTAACCCCCCTTTTTGGGGGGATAGCCAGGGTGCTGCCTCACTAAGCTCCGTGCAAGGCATTGGGGTGGTTTCCCTGGCCCACTCCGCAGCAGTTGTCGGGGGTCTTTAGTTGCCCCTGCAGTGCTCCGGTTCCTCCCAACGGCCGTTGCGTGTCGTCGTCCTCCCCCTAACCCCCCTTTTTGGGGGGATAGCCAGGGTGCTGCCTCACTAAGCTCCGTGCAAGGCATTGGGGTGGTTTCCCTGGCCCACTCCGCAGCAGTTGTCGGGGGTCTTTAGTTGCCCCTGCAGTGCTCCGGTTCCTGAGGCTGTTGGTGTCTTCTCTCTCTCCTCAGATGCGCTCCCTGCCACCATGTTTGTCCTGGTAGAGATGACTGACACTGTAAGAATTCCTCCCTGGCAGTTTGAAAGGAAACTGAATGAATCTATTGCTGAAGAGCTAAACAAGAAATTGGCCAATAAGGTAAAGTGGGGGTCATGTATAGGTCGATGCAGGCATCCTGACATCCCTGAGCATTTCTTCCTTTTATTCCTAATGGGGTGTGCGGGTAAGGTATCAGAATATTTTAGATGTGAAGGCCATCCCCAGCGACTGCAATATCAGAGACTGAAAACAAAAGAGACAGCCGTGTATCACCTCAAAGCGGACATTTTTTTCTAATGGCTAATGCTGTAATGGGAAGATGCTGAGATGGGCAGAGAAGCATGGAAGAGAAGTGAGAGTAACTGCTGGTTTGTGTAGAGTAGCAGTCTGAAATGCAGTCTTAAAAGCGGATGCAAACCAATCTATCCAGTGGGAGAGTTTTAAAAAAGACAATGTAAATAAATGTAGAACAGTAATACTGGAAGAGAAATGAAGGTGATAATAGCTGACTTGGTCAGTGCTTAGTACTTGAAATACAGTGTGGCAGTAAGAAGTTGTTCTTTGGTGCAGGACATAAAAAAGTGTTATGGCATAAGCCAGGGCGTCACAGTTTCCCTGTGCAGCCCCTGGGACTGCGATTAGCACACAGCTTTCAGTGTGAGGCAGGTGCAAAACTCAAAATGCAGCTTGTGAACATGAAAGGAGCTCAAAAGAGCAACCTGAAGTGATTGAGGGTTGTGAACAGCAGATTGTACCGACACGATATGAAGAGGAAAACTTCCCTCATCCACTGATGACTAGTAGGTCCCTCCAATTTTGTAGGCTGTGAAGCCATCTAGGAAGTGGCGGAGAAACCAAGAGTTCTCCTCATCTCTGCCCAGAGCTAATGTGATTTAAGACAAAGGCAAGCCTAGAGGCTTCTGAGAGCATAACTAGCAAAAAAGTATGTTTAGCCTTTGGACAAGCTATGGGGCTGGTGAATGATGTCTGTGGGCAAATATTTACTGTCTTGGCAGGTCAAGTTCTCTCACTGCTGACAGTTACTCCAAGGGTTTCTGTTCGTAGCGGTGCTCTTTGCAGTGCCAATGAAAACACATCCTCCCGTAACACTTGAAAAAGTTAGGGGTTCCCCTACAATGTGATGTGGTTAAGGCTGGGGCTTTTGAAGGGAGTGTACCAAAACAGCCTCCCTCCCATCTTGCCTTCTTTTGAAAAGGTGTGCACAAGGTATAAATTTGATGGTTTGTTTTATTTTTTTTTTTAACTTGGTAAGTTGCTTGATGTATTGCTTTTTAATTTTTTTTTGAGCAGGTTGTATACAATGTCGGCCTCTGCATCTGTCTGTATGATATCACAAAGCTGGAAGATTCATACATATTCCCTGGAGATGGTGCATCACATACCAAAGGTACATTCTTGTCCTCAGTTACATAGTTTCACAGAAGGTTAGTGATGTGGAAATGTAAACTGAGCTCAATTGTTAGGGAAAGTAAATTCAAAGGAACTTAGTGAAGCTCATAGCCTTAACTCTGTTCCTGTTAGGAGGGCAAGAGAAACATGGCAAAAGTCTCTTTCCTTTGCATTTTTTGGGTACAAATATAGCTTTAAATAGTCCTGTCCTGTTTCTCCAGCGGTCCATCTCTGTTCTACAATTAAAGCCATAAGTTTGGGATAAGTAAGGGGTTAATTTAATTTACAATAATTGGAAATCTGCACATAGAAAATAAGTTGTGCTAATCATTTTGCATTTGTGTAGTATTTTTTTCTTTTTGAAGCTTATTTAGCTAGAATGTTGAAACATGTTTCTAAATATAACGTTCGCACAGCATTTGATGCTGTTTTCCTAGCTGGAAGTTTTGCTACATTTTTGTTTGAGACTTAGACAGATCTGGTTCAGCATAAGTTTGTAGTGACTTTTTTTTTTTTAAATAAGAAATGACTAATTTCTTTACTTTGATTTTTGGCAAATTTGTCTAAGTAAAAACTGGAAGGAAACACATAAAAGCAAATTTCATGTGTTTTTTTAAGTTAAAATAAGTTTCTTTAAGCTGCAAAGAGCTTCATTTTTCTACCTTCCGTTTTCAATGTGGAAACGTAACTCTAGCAAAAGAAACGTTTCCCATTAGAAGGGAACTGGACTTAACTATACGTGGCTCCCCTTGTCTAAATTTTAACTCCAATAGAACTTGCTCCCTGCAAATAAAAGCTTTTCTAATACTGAAGGAGGATGGTAGGCTTTCCTGCTTGCTTTAATCTCCATTCAGCTTCTTAACTTTGAATTATTCCTTGAACTGAAACAAGAGAATCTCTTCTCTCTGAGCTTGGAAAAAAGTCTCCTGCTTTCAGAATCTGGGGTAGCACTTTGATAAATCCTGCTCTGTCTGGTAATAACTCAACTCTGTCTCTAATGTACTGTCTGTTGTTACGTAAAAGAGGAGCACTGAGTATGGATGGACAGCTGAAATGATGTTAAATTGCTCATAAGCATTGTTTGGCTTTCTTATAAATTAAAAATGCTTGGTTAGAAACATCATTTGATTTAACCTGGATGAAAAATACAGTTATGTTAGAGAATCTTATTTACTCTGATAATAATTTATATCAGATATTCCACTTAAAGAAAATACAGCATTGCTGACAAAGATATAAGGAGCACAAGTATTATGGGAAAGTATAATTTCAACTGGTATTCTCGGCCTTTAATGCTCACACCAAAGCAGAGGCCTTGCTCCACGGTCTTCATCTTACGGTTTCATTCTGTCAACTTAAACTCTTGAATGCTTGAAGAGCAGAGAACAGGAGGCTGGTGATCAACCACTGTCATAGTTCTCATTCCTAACTGTTTTGTATGAATTCTTATTCCCATTTTTCTATCTAACCAGTGCCTCTAAGGAAATTGTAAAAGAATCTGGGTAAGCATTTTAGAGGGCACATAGGATGTGGGATTTTGTTTTAATGGCTGCCACCCTGTGGAAAAAGTATAGTTCACTAACATGGACATAATATTAATGATCTGTTTTCTTCTAAGTGCATTTCCGCTACGTGGTCTTCCATCCCTTCCTGGATGAGATTTTGATTGGGCAAATTAAAAGCTGCAGCCAGGATGGTGTTCATGGTAAGCCACAACTTCTAACGCTGGGGACGCGAGAGCTGCAGAGCTCTTGGGTCTCTTGAGATACTGTTTTCATACCTGATTTCAGGTTGTATGGTGCTGTCTGTAGGCTGCTTAAAGACTATTACTGGCCTCTGGTGCTGCTCTGGTCTGAGGATGGTTGGTAGTTCTGGCCTGGCAGCTTCCCCTGCCCTTGATGATTTTGTCTGCACTCCCCTTTCCTTTTGTAATTCATGTGCATGCCCAGGAAGAACAGGCAAGCCCATCTGGAGCGTAGACTGGGTTCGTTTTCTCGCTTCAGTTAACAGAACTTGCTTTTTTTTTTTTTAAAAAGCGGTAGTATCAGCTTCTGTTGGTCTGACATATCTTTCCTATAGTTCTGTGCAAATTCAGGATCGTTTCCTGTACCTGAAAATATGGCAGGGAAATGTCTTTGTGAGCAGAAAGTGCTGTCAGATTCATGCAATACATAATTGATGAGTTGCTTTCCTTTCTTGTAGGAGCCTTCCATGCAAGCGAGCTGCTCTGCTCAGTTGTTAAGTTAGGACAATAAGATTATCTTGGCTGCGTTTATTGCTGAATTTGAGTGTGTTCGCTCTGATAAAATTCAACATTGTGAAATCTCAAGGGGGGGGTGGGGGCTGTTCTAACTTTATATTGGTCTTTATTTAACATGTTACATCTGCGATTTCTAAGCTCTTTGCTGTCACAGACCTCTATAGCATCTGACTCATTTCTTGGAACGCTTTCACTTCCAGTCCTGCTCCAAATGGCCTTTTCCTTTCCTAGCTGACATGAAGACTGTGCCCTCTGTTGCTGTGTGTACTTTCAGCAGGGTGGTTGCTTTGCTGCCAACTGAAATCGAGCGTTGTGGCTCAAAGAATAATTCCTGCATGATCTCAGATGTCCTTCCTGAAAGAGGAAGAAGAAGGAGTCTAGAAATGCATTTTAGGAATCACTGTGGTACATCATTTGCGAAGAAGCATTTCAGTCTTAATCAAATTCTTTTCTCTGCAGTTTCTATTGGATTCTTTGATGATATTGTCATCCCACCAGAATCCCTGCAGCAGCCAGCTAAATTGTATCCTTTTGATCACCTTTGACAACTTTACTACTTCATTTCAAAAGATTGTGCAGTGCTGGCCCAACAGTCATTCACTACTGCAACAATGAAGGTGCTCAGTGGCAGAAGCTAAGCCGTTGTGTCAGGCAAGTCCCGCAGACTGTTATCACAGCTAGACAGGCCTCGCGCTTATTTAGGTTTTGCAGGACCATTGTGCCCGCTGATAGAAATGAATGGCAGTGTCCCCTGAACAACCGCGTTGTAATCCCTGCCTCTAGTCTTGGCCGCTGCTGGAGACAGAAGGGAAGTTTTACCACATCATGTAATGTCTAGATGCATGCTGTGTCTAATATACTTAGTCGTGGTAGGTGAGGTCGTCTTGAGTTTGAGGGGGTTTGCTTGTTTGTTTTTTTTTTCAGGGATGGGGTAACCCCAACTCTGCCCAGCAACATACGCCTTAAACCAGGAAAATGAGAAACGGTGGAGGTCCTGGGCTGCACGGATGATGACCTAGGACAGTGCTCTCTGGCTTGAGAAATAATTGTGAAAAGGTTTGAATTGAGTCTATTCTCAAACCGGTCAGAAAGCGATGTGTCAGGCAGAATACTTAGTGATTGTTTCCACCCTTAACCCTTGGCGTGGCCAGTGATGAAGCAGAGCAGGTGTGGGTGTGGGAATATGAGACAGAAGAAGGGGCCCATGACCTTTACATGGACATTGGGGAGGAGATCCGCTTCCGAGTCGTGGATGAAACATTTGTCGATACATCACCGACAGGTCCGAGCTCTGCAGAGGCTTCCACTTCAAACACCACAGAAGAAGTTCAGAAGAAAGAGGCACCCTATACTCTTGTGGTAACTATATGCATAACTCATAGAGCTTTGCAAACTTTGTGGTTTATTCTATGTCTAAAATAGCATCCCTTTCCCAAGGAACTGATTGCTTTAAGCTGACTGTGAAGCAAAGAGAGTCACAAAATGAAAGGAGTGGAAAAGGGGAGAAACGAGATTGTTCTCGTGGTTGCTCTGTTTGCTGTTTGTTTTCGTTGGAACACCTTGTGGTTGTTGGTGGAGTTCCTCCCGGGAGGCTGATTTAAAGCAGACTGTGGATGCAGGGTCTGCAGGTAGAGTAAGCACGCAGGGAGCACCGAGCTGGGAGAACCATATCCAGGTTGACACAGCAGGAAAACAGTCTTTCCTGTGCAGTGTTTTGGTGTAAGAGCCACCTGAGTTCAATGCAAGAGAAAGATGGATCTAAACCAAGGACAGCTGTGTTTTCTCATGGCTGGAGTATGTTGGGGCAGTCAGGAGGGGGAATGGGCAACTAGATTTTCAAGTGTTGAACGTTTGGTGTAGTATTGACAAGGTTTAAAGGAAGCTGGGCAAATGCTGGGCAGGCTCTGGTAGGAAAAAAAAGTGATTCTTGGGGGCGAGATTTTATGGGTTTATGCATTTACTCCTGTATTCTTTATGCCGTTTACAGTTGAGTGCTCTCCTCTTCTCTCTGTGAACAGGGATCAATAAGCGAACCAGGCCTGGGCCTCCTGTCGTGGTGGACAAACAGTTAGCTGCAATCAGAGCCTGCTCTGCAGAAAGTCTTTCCAGTGGATGTTTGGGGGGATTATGGGATCCTGCTGGTGCTCATAGCTCCTCTGAAGCTGAATAAGAAATTAGACCTGCCATTCTCTGTTTCCCCTTCAGCTTCCAATCTGCCAGATCGAGACAGTCGCTTTCAAGAAATGTCTTCACTGATCTGTAGAAGTGAATTTACAGGCACAAAAAGCCTTGAGCGCAGCAGCAACAAACTCAGCTGGAGCTTTGGTCTCCTGCCCTGGAGAGAAAACCAGGGAGGTCTTTACTTGCCTGAATTAAGAAGGGAGTTGACTTCAGCAAGTGAAAAGCAGGAGAGAATGCCTGTCAGGAAGTATTGCTTCCTTGGGCTGAGAGCTTGATCTCAAGAGGGGTAGAAACCTGCCCTTCTTTTGACAGGAAACAGAGAAGAAACAGCAAGAGACTGGAGTTAATAGAGGTGCGGTACTCTGGGGACCTGGAAAATGCTGCTGCTGGAAGGGCGGGGGAGGTGGTGGTAACCTCCTGCTAAGAATGGGCACTTAACCCATGGATGAATCAGCCATAGAGAACTGGAGTGACAGCACTTCACCCAGAAGTACCTTAGGCTCTGTGAAGATGACCACTGTGGAAGGCTATAGGCTGCTTATTGTGCTGAATGGAAATACTTTATTGGGTGGGCTGTTATTTACGTAGAATGAGCTAAACTTTGCAGGAACTCGACTGAATATACATAATTATGAACTGAAACAGACCAAGGCTGCTTTGAGTAAGTTAAATGCTTGTTTGTGGGGGTGTGTTAATACCAGAAATGGCATAAATACTAAAAACCACACAGCCTGCCTTCCTGTACAATTTGTGGGGAAACTATTAGCTTCCTGCCTAGCAGGAAGAAAAAAGTTGCCTCCTGCAGTTTAGCTACTTGGATTTCAAGGGAGAGAGTGTTGAGACCAACGCTTTGCTCTGCTCTAACAGCCAATAACAAACAATTGCTATCACCCTCCCTGACAGCAGTAAAAGCAAAAGGGGGAACAAAACAGTGAGTAAAATCTATGCAGGGCCCATTGCCAAGAGAGTGATGTTGCACACATAATTACAAAGCCAGCCACGTTTGGCAGGAAGGGGCTGTAATTCCCTGGGATAGCGGATCTGCTTAACCTCCAACTGTGAAAACAAAGCCTGAGTCACCAGTGCCCTCCCTGCAGTGTCGTTAGAACCCCTTAATTCTGAACTGTTATTCCTGGTGCGTTGCCCTAATTAAAAGGGAGCCTAGAATTCTTTAGATTCACATAGTAACTGAGGTCCATCTGCTCAGACAATAAGCTTACTGAATGCCATCTACAGAGCATTAGTGCTCAGACAGGCAATCATCTGGGCATGCTGGAAACAAAACTGTTTGTGGAACACCCCGTTTGTATAGGTGGAAGTTCAGGTGAAGGGAGTTCAAGCCTCAACAGCCAGAGGCTCCCACGCTGACTGTTCTGGGGTAAGTGCCTGCGGTGGAGGGAAGCCGCCCAGGTACCTCCAGGTTGTTGTGCTCAGTTCCCATTGCACAGGGTCAGAGCTCCCAGGAGTGTAGCAAGGTGGTAGCTGCATAGCTTTATGTGGTGATCTAAGGAATCCTCGCTAGTTTGTCATTGCTGCAGTAGTGTCACTGTTGCCCTGGACAGGAATGTAGTAGGGAAGGTGATGATAGTCGTGAGTGGAGCCTGCAGCAGTTAATGTCAAGGGATAAACAGTGCAAGACAGCTGTGAGGGCTCTTTTTTTACCCTGTGTTTGTGGTGCAGCAATGATTTCCAGAATAAGAACCGGGCAGGTACCATCTCCTATCTCCAAGTTGTTTTTTTCCACCCTCCCAGTGACAGGGGAAGCAGGGGCTGAAGAGCAGCATTATGAATATAACAACATGAGGCAGAAGAGATGGTCACATTCTTTATTTTCATTTTATCTCTTTAGCCATCAGTAAAGTGAATGGGCAGAAAACAACCAACTGAGCAGACAAATCCACCTTAGCTGGTTATTTCCAAATATAAATAACTGTGGGATGACTGAAATTGAGCCAAAATAGAAAAAGGGAGCTGGGTAATTTAAAAGACAAAAGTAAGCCTAGCTGCACTCCCTTTTCATAGTGTCAGTGAAGAGGAAGTACCATAACAAAAAGGAAGCTATGGTTACATTTGATCAGACATTTATTCCAACAGTAGGCATGGAATTGCACTTTTTCATGAAAATGCCAAAGCTGAAACGAGTCCAGTGCACTGGGGCCATTGTGCGCACTTAGCTTGATTTCTGCTGCAGCTCCTTCATTCTGTTCAGGGCACTGCCAGCTTGAAACCACTCTATCTGTGACTCGTTGAAGGTGTGGTTCAGCATGATTGTTTCTTGGCTCCCATTGGGATGCTTGATGATGCACTTCAGAGGCTGAAGGAAGAAGACAGTTTTTATTTCCCCCCTCTTCTCTCAAGGGAGCGAGTTAACTGAAGCTTCTCCCAGGAAAATTCCTACGTGTTTTTAAAGGGTTGAAAATTTCTTTGCTGTGAGGGTGATGAGGCACTAGAACAAGTTGCCCAGAACAGTTGTGGGTGCCCCCTCCCTGGAAGTGTTCAAGGCCAGGTTGGATGGGGCTTGGGGCAACGTGGTCTAGTGGAGGGTGTCCCTGCCCATGGCAGGGGGGTTGGAACTAGGTGATCTTTAAGGTCCCTTCCAACCCAAACCATTCTGTGATTCTAAAATGAAAAATTATAGCTGGGGGGGGCGGGTCTTAACACAGAAGTGTGATTGCAGTTCCTTCTAGGGAACACTCGTGCTTAAGGGAACACTCGTGCTTAAGGCAACAAGGCCAGGAATTCAGAATACTGTACAAGGGTTTCTTGTAACCATTCAGAATAACACGATCCAATTCTGACTTGCTCTCTAGCCACGCCCCCTCCAGACCACTGCTGCAAAGATCTCACCTGGCTGTCAGGCTGCACTGCCCACAGGTGCCCCGAGCACACAGCACGACACTGTTCCCGGTCAGTGGCACATCCCTGCCCGCCAAGTGCAATGACGAGGCACCCAATTACCTTTCCAGGTGCGAAGTCTGCCAGCCCTACAATGCTTAGCTTGTCCACAGGATGAATCTTGTTGTAATCCGCTGGATCAGCAAAAGTAAGAGGCAGTAGACCTTGCTTCTTCAGATTGGTTTCTGCAGAGAACAAACCACCAAGCACACTTGTAACAACACACTGCAGGGGATCAGGATTACCTTCTGGCTGCTCAGTGCATCTCAGAGTGGTATGCCAGCAACAATTACTATCTTTGTAGCAAAATGAGCATATCTGCTGTTTGTGGCATATCTAACTAGGTATGTACACCAGGATTCCTGACAGGAGAGACCGTGGGGTCTGTCAGCAGATAGGGTTCATGCCCATGGGTGTTGAGCCCCACCGCTTCCACCCAGACCAAATACATCCTGTTTACAGACATCACAGGGGAAGTGCGACTCACCGTGGATCCTGGCAAAGCTCTTGGTGATGATGACCCTGCCCCCCAAGTGACGTGGCTCCAATGCTGCGTGCTCCCTGCTTGATCCCTCACCATAGTTTTCATCTCCAATAACTGCCCATTTGACGCCCATTTTCTGTGACAAAAGAAACAGATGTACATTCCTGCCATCACTCAAGTGAGGAATTAACAATAAATATCCACCCACGCAATCTGATTTCAGTGCTACACTACTGACATTGCTGTGCTGTGACACTTCCTCCCAGAAGGCTCCCTTTGGTTCTGAGGAAGGACGGAAATAAAGGAATTAAGTGCTTCACAGCAGTTAGGCACTGCCAGCCTTCACTAATGAGTGCTAGGGAAGATTGACCTTGGGACCCAGAGCAAATTGTCACCACCTTTCCTTCCATGGTCCTGTGCCAGAGCGGCGCTCACACCAGCCACAATCCCTGTTCTACTTCTGGAAGTGATACGAAAAACTAAATTCTCTCTACTGGAAGAACCAATCCGAGAGCATTGCCAAGCTGTCCAGAGGGCAAAAGAACATTTCTTGATGTTCTCAGCCAAGTTTTAAAGAATGAAGGGGACAAGATTAGAATTTATTTAAACATTAGGCTAGTCACTGGTGAAACACTGCAGGAGGCGAGATTTAGTTGCATTCTGATGACACCCATGCCTTGTAAGGTGTGCAGTGCCTAAAGGAATTCTTCCCCTTTCATCTACGATTTCTCGTCCCCCTCTGGGTCACAAGATCCTCCTCCCTCCTTCCATGTAGCAGGTCGGGAGAGAATCTCCTCCAGAAACTGCCATCATAAGAGTAAGTAAGTCCCAAGAAAAAGCCTCAACGCTGAGCAAATTCACAGCTGCTGTTACTTGAGAGCAGGAGGGTGAGATCCTCAGTCTTGGCACAGACTGCCCAAAGCATAAACACCCTCTTAAAATAGATGCGTCAGGGGAAAGTCTCACCTTGTAGTAACGGGCTGTGTCTGGGACTGGCCCAAACTCCTGGGTTAATGCATTCCTCACAGAGTTGGCTTTGCCATTTTCAATGTTGATGGCGCCAATGAGCAGGTTGTTGGAGATGTTGTCCAGATGGCCACGGAATTTGAGCCACGGGCCGGCTGCAGAAATATGGTCAGTGGTGCATTTCCCTTTTACCTAAAGGGTAGTAGAAAAGTGGTATGTCTTGGGATGGATCAGTGACTTGACCCTTCCTCAACACTTTTTATTCTGAAGGATCCCCACATCTCTTTTTAAGGGCACAAACCCAAGAGAATTGCATCTGTTACAGAATCAAGATACTCCAAGGCAGAACACAATGGTCATTCTGCATGTGTTGGGTAGGAAGAACATCCCTGTTCTAAAGGGTAAATTACAAAAATGAGCTTAGCCATGACATCTCCTGCCGTGTCCTCGCTTCCCTCAGCAACAGGTTCTTCAGGTACAAAAAGCAATTAAGCCCTTCCTGCTACAGCTCAGCCTCCCTGCTGGGGGAGTTCAGCAAGATGCTAAGTGTTTCCTCTTAAGTTTTCAATCTGCACATAAACCACCTCAGCTTATAGAACAGAATTCCCAACCAGAGATAATGGCCTTCCAACTGGCAAGTCCCAAAGTGCTTGCAAAGGAATTGCCTGTGACAAAAACTCTTGCACGGCTCACTGTGGCCCTTGTGAGTACCTGCAACTCTCTGCTGCTGAGAATCAGCGATGTTCCTGAACGTCAGTTCCTAAGGGACTGCACTTCAGAACGCATCACTGTATTAACTGATGTTTTCATCCTGTTAACTCACCCCAGGCAGTGAGGAGAAACCCAGGTCTTCATTAAGAGACTGAAATGCAATGTTAACTATTGTGAAGTAATTTCTCTTTCTATAAAATAGGAAGAGAACACACATACTGATGGATGAGAAGTTCCTAACAACCTCATTTCAGACAAAATGCATCTTAGAACACTCAGGTATTAAGAGATGCTAATTAAAGAACCTTTCTGCTGCAGGTTAGAACTGGGACAAATTCTGCAGACTGCACGGTATGGGCAAGATCGTATTACATGGTATAACAAGCTTCATTTTTCATAGTTTTAGCTAACCACTAGCCCAAAGGAGAACAGTCTCTTAGTTATAATAGAAAGAAGAATCAGAAGGAAACACCTGGAAGGAAGGAAGACCCTTGCTTCACTTCCCATAACAACATGGTTGTAGGGGAGTGAATCACAGATAGCTCAAAGGCACATCCAAAGCCTCTAGCAACTGATGTGCAAACCCTTGTTCGAGCAGTCCTGTCATAGCCAGCGTTCTGTCACTTCGCTCCTGACCTTGATGAGAATCAGCATGTCTTCTAGATCCTT